AGTATATCCAACCCTTTCCACATCAAGAATGCTACCATTACGTCTTTTGTTCTGCATTTCTTTCAGAGCGCTTTTTGTTTTCCTTGTGTTGCTCCGCAAAATTGTATTAATTTTTCTCCAGAAAAGGGCCAGGTGCTATTTCACTATGCAGATGGGTTGAATATTTCGCGGTGTAGCTGCAAGTTGCTGGCTGCTGGGAGCCCCTCAAGCCTGTCGGCCAGACGCCTCCTTTAGAATGTGGAGCTTCAGAAGTATTAAATTTAACTCAAGAATTTTGCAGAATTCGATGCCCTTGCCCTCCTGCGCATGGCCGTCGACACTGCCCATCGACACAGTGCCCCCCAGTGCCCCACAGTGCCCCCAGGATGGGCTTCGACACTGGGACACGCACACTGCGAGGTGCATTTGCATGTGCTGGCGGCATGGCATTTCAGGGTTGCCAGAACAGAGGAGAAAGAAATGGTTTAGGCACGGCTCGAATGGCTCCAGTGTGTGAACAAGCGACACAGCGACGAAGGCAACGCGTGGCCAGGGCCGTAAATCAACTCAATCATTGATTCTACATCTTGTTTACTTCATTCAGTAACAACTCAATTGCCACGCTGTTACAGTACCTGGAAAGGCAGAGACGGGGGCTACCAGCGGAAGGATAATGAGCATCAGAAGGAGGCAGCCCTCCAGTTGTACCTCCAGTAGCACGGAACGTATTCACAACGTACACAGCAGAGCGCTTGATAGAGCTTAGTTGTGCTTGACAGTGTTGTTAAGTGCGCTCACACGTTGAGTGAGAGCAAATACAAAGTGAACATATAACCAACAAATGAATGGACGAATGGCTAGAAGGAAAACAAGGAACCTTGGCTCATCAGTGGCAATGTGGGCAACTGGCTTCAGACGCTCCTCAGGAAGTCGCGGGCCTCTGGGTGCCAACTCCCGTCCATCTGCCTGCACATCGTCATGATGGCTGCTCTTCACTTACGGGTACAGACACATCATCATTTTTCATTTGCCTGGAATCGCACCTTCAACGAGCACAGTTGTGAGAAAAATGACTGCCCCCCACGGGATACCTGCGGTCCAACATGCCAACTTTGGCGAATGCAGCATAACGTTTCACGCACACTCGGGTGTGGATGTCAATTCCAATGCAGAGAGGCCGCGGGTAAGGGGCGCGTATCTGAGCCCCAAAACTGGTCGCCAGGGTCCAGCCTCAATGCATGGGACTTGCAGTGGCCGTCACGCACTCTTGCGACCATTGCGGCCACCCTGGCACCCAGCTTGGTGTGGGCAGCGGCACAGCATGCCTAGAGGTAAGTCCTGGGCAGCAGAAATCGCAAGACCCTTGATTCACCGCCTCGTTGTTGCAACGCCCAGCCGATCCCCAACTCTGGACAAATTCAACCAGACGGCTGGCACAAGGCTCTGGCTGAGGGTGAACAGAACGACCCAACATGATGCAGGGTTGCAAACCACAGATATTGAATCAGGGTAGGAAATGACCCTGGCATTTTCCAAGCAGACCCGATTTTGGGCTCTGGCATGGAGATCGCGTTCCGGAATTGTACTCCCACATCGCCGCAACACTCTAGGGGCGCTGCATCGCATTATTTGAAAATGTAACCAAAAGCCTGCCACAGGCTTTCGTAAGTTCCAAGCAAGTCTGGGCGCCTCCATGGGCGACGAATTGTGTGCACTGCAAAGCCCATGCTCAGTCCGATTTCAGCAGAGCATTTGTGCAGCAACGCCCTGAGTGTGCCCAAGCCCTGACAGGACTCTGTTGTCGGCCATTTGGGGCCCTTGGCAACGCTTTGAGACTTTATCAAGTGCCCCAGTTACGATCTTTGGCAGACGTCTGGAACGTCCACGGTCACCTCTCTTCGACTCCTTGGCCTGACAGTGAAACTAAACAGTTGCCCATCAGTGACACTTGACCACTATTTTGGACGATTTGTATATGCCTCAATGTAGAGGTGGATAGTCGATACATGACTGAGACGAACGCTGGGATAAACAATTGACATGCCATTCGTGCAGCTGGGTGGCAGCATAGCCCTCGGTGGCTGACATGCAGTTAGTGGAATTTCATCATCATCACCCTTGGGCATGCTTTCTTGACTTCGCCAGCAGCCCCTCCTGGGCTGTGGGGCAGGGCTTTGGGACTTCTCAAGCGGGCCTTGGACATGATCCCAGTGCATTGGTGTCTGCAGACTCATTTTCTCTCTCCCTTGTTCCTCAGATTTTCTTGGCGCCACTCATGGGCAGCCTGGACATGGCCATGGTACATTCTATTGGGCCATGTACTGCAGGCATGGCACGGACAGTGACATGCACAGCTTCCCACAACACCATATGTAGGAATCGTCTTCCTGATGCTCCTGTTGCTGCTATGAGCAGACATACAGTGACAAAATTTCGTATCCCCTTGGACACCACCACTGCACATGTCCGTTGCTTCAATGCAGGATCCTTGCTCTCGTTTCGCTCTTGTATCAGTGGCTCCCCTATCACTGCAAGTGGGAAGGGGCCCGCAACATTCTTGCCAGGAGGGGGTTGCTCCAATGTACATCATGCTTCGTAGATTTCAAGATGCATCTCAACACATAAACATAAACAAAACATATAACATATATACAACGTATAACATATAACATATAATATAACACATAAACACAACGGCAACCTATCGGCTGGCTCTGAACATTTATCCTGTGGCCTTGGCTTGCCGCGCATTGACAAACTCTGATCATGTTGCTTAGCATCGCTGCATGTGCCCGACATTACCACGGAATGCATCCAACCCTGGAGCAACATGTGCATGTTTGCCATAAACTGAGCAAACAAACTCACAGAGGGGTGTCAGTGGCTCTGCAGCACTGCAATGCAGCCAAGGGCCCAACCTACCCTTGCTGGGAAGGGGTTACTCCACAGTATCTTGGGGGTTTGCAGGATGTCAAACACATCAGGACAGACTCGGAAGCACAAATGCTCTCCCATGAAGCACACCATTCGCCACGTTGTGCCCACCGTGCCTTCCCTTCACCCCAGCATCCCCTATCCGCAATGGCTTAAGCGCCAGCATGGGCCATTCAGTGGTGGCCCTGACTGTAGCCAGCAACCAAACGTTAGGAACGTAAGATGCAGCACATGGTTCCACATCTCTAGCTTGGCGAAAGGGGCTTTTCTTTCTTTCGATCTCAAAACGGTGCAGCATTTATTGTAGGGCTTGCCTTATAATGTTGTGATTCCTTGATCTCCAAATATTGCAGAGTTGGCAAAACGGGTTGCCTTGTCATGTTGTTACAAGCGTGCACTCAGTGGATTTGGAGGTGGTTTACAGTGGACGGCGGGCTCACTTTCCCTTCTCTCTCCACCTGCCTAACAGTATTGTGCCCTTGGTGCGTCTGTTGAGGGATCCTTGTGGGATCGCTGTACCCAGGAACCATTTTTTCACAACATATATCAACATCAAGGAACTAAGAAAAACTGCGCCAAAGGCCCAACTGGACCAAGAACAAAACGTTCGCTTGGAATTCGTCATACCTCATATCATATCATATCATTATCATACAGGCAGTGCTTTATCATGTTTACATGACAAATGTAATCAAAGGATTTGATGGAACAATAAATGCACCTTTGTACGTCACGTTCTTCTTCAAGGCACCAAGGAATATCATAAAGGAACGGTACAGACAGGCACCGGAGATCGCCATTTCGGCAAGAACAAACACAACACAAAGAGGTGGTTCCAATTCAAGTTCCAATTACAGTTTCAATTTCAGTCCCGACGAAAACACAGTTTGCTGTTCTTTTCCACCGCGCAGGACGGCGTGGCAGGCGCTGAATGCAAGAGGCGGGGGCGGCAGCAAAACCAAACTCGCGCTCAGACGAGCGGAGTGACACAAGGGGCCGCCTGCATTTCCCAGCACCCGCCCACGGTAACATCCACACCCGCAACCCGGCATCCCAGGTGCACAGGCCGTGGGCATTGATGCCACAGGGAGAGCACACAGGGGCACCTTGCGCCAATCACTGATGGGAGCCACGTGTTTCGAACTCGACAGCTCAATCGGCACAGCTACGGGGTTCGCGGGGTGTGCGGGTGGGTGGGGTAAAATTGTTGCAAGACAGAATAACGTCGTCACATGTCCACAGCTAATCGGTGGTCGAAGCAGCACTGATGGGACCGGGAGGCCCATCGATCGACCGCACCGATGTGCTTCACAGTGTTGGGCCACTAATCGAGCGCGGCAATGCCCCACTTTTTCTCCGCCTTTGGGGAGATTTAACGGGAGTCCCGAGACCAACAAGGCGGATACAAAGGACAGACGGAGGAGTGGTGGAGGAGCTGGAGCGCCAAGGCTCACCCACCCCGACGCTTGGGGGTCCCGCGCAGGGCGCGTCTCCGCCAACCCGCACACGCGACACAGTCATGACACGCGGGCTGAACGGCAAGCCTGGTCGTTAGGGCACATCGCCGTTCGGGACCCGTCTGCAACTCCGTTGCCTCCAGCCCGTCCCCAGGCCGCCTCCACGGAGCCGCTTCCCGTGGCGAACCAGCCAGCGACCTAGTCTTCACACCGGCGACGACGTCATTCTACGGCCAGTCCACGAACCGCCTGACACCGGCGGCGGGTACTTCAGTCATGCCCGTGCGCCACCTCATCCCGAACGAAGCCCAGAACGGCGAGAACGCGGGCGTTTTCGCCCAACTGTTGACGGCACGACCCCTCCCAAAACACTCCGCGACTCCTCAACGCTCCACAACTTCGCAACTCTTCGCAGACTTCACGTATTTGCTCCCGCAGACGGGGCCAACCCCCACGCCCCCCACCCCACCCCACCCTGCTTGCCCGTGCCTCCCCTCTTGGGTCCGCAGACAGGATCCTCCGCCGCCATTCGCGATTCGATCTTTTTCATCTCGGGGCGGCATGAAGACGAAGTCCGGCGCGGCGGGCGGCGCGGCGGAGGCCGTCGAGGGCTTCGCGATCGAGTCGGTGATGGCCACCGTGGCCCGCCGCATCCGCGCGGCGAAGAAGAAATTGTCCAAGGTCGGGGACATCGAGAGCGCGCTGACGACCGGCAAGGCCATCAATGATGATCAGGTGGGGCGGCGGGCTGCCGGGAGGCTTCTGAGTTGTCTTGAGCTGTGCGGGGGAGGGGAGGCATGGCCTGGCGTGGGTCCGGTTTTCAGTTTACAGTTTGCAGCTTGCGGTTTTGGTGAAGTCGAAGTGGCAATCGGGGGCTTGACAAGCTCGTGATCCCCCTGCTGGTTGCACCCCTGCATTGGATGGGCCGCCCTTGGAACTGGGTGGCCAGGTGTGGGAGACGTTTTGGCAGGCTGTGGAAAGATGAGGATGTTGGTTGGGGCGGGGGAGGGGGAAATGGTTGCGCCGGCCATGGCCCTTGCTTTTTTGTTTTTCGCTTTTCGGCACTGAGTTAAGCGCAAGGGAATCGGGGAGGGCGGGCATTGCCGCGCGATCGACCTGAGAGGCCGAGCGGCGCTTCGCCGGCGCGTCCTCCAAAGATTCGCCGCGCGATTCGCCTCTGGACGACCGGTCGCGGCGGGGGTCAGGATGCGAGGTTGCCGCAGCTTTCAATTGGTGGGAGTCTGTCACGTTGCGTCCGGACGCCGTCGGCTGCCCCAACGGCGAGGAGCGGAGTTTGGAACGCTTGGCGCCGTCGGGGTCGCCCCGGTGATTCTCCGCTTGCTCTTGGCGCCCGAACAATCCGGACCTGAGGGCCTGATGCTGCCGTTCTCCGCTACGCCTAGCCAACAGATTCCCAACCACGTCGGCGACCGCCCATGCCCAACCTCACACCCAACAGCGCCCCCCCTGCCTCCATCTTCCGATCCCCTTGCCGAAAACCTTTCCGCCGCCCTCGTTTTCCGCCCGGTGTTTTCCACCCCGCCTGGCCGATTGTGCCCTGCACATACACATGCCCTTCATCCCCCACAAGGCGCAAGGCCGCCGATCGGATCCTCAAAGCCAATTTTAACCAAGGCGTTCGCTCAGGCAAGGAACCGAGTTGCAAGGGCACCGTTTTGTCTTTAGAAGCTATGTCACATGTCGTGTGTGCTCAGCAGCGACTGTAAATACAAAGGGGACTGCAGCAAGGACTGTCGATGGGCTGAGGATCTGTTTCTGTCCCTGGAAGGGCACAACACTGGTGAAGGTAGCTCGTTTGTGGGGTTGATGGTTATACCAGTTCAACCAAGGGGTTTCGCTCAACCAAGGAATCGATGTGCAAGTGCACTGCGTTGCTTTCCAATCCAATTTTGCCCAGATTTAGGCTCATGTTTCCCTCTTGCTGCCCCCTACCCCAGAGGAAGTGCCTTGACGCCAAGATCGGCCTGGATGCCGTCCTGGAGGAGCTCCATAAGCTGGAGCCCCTGCTCCAGGGATCCGTGAACCTGGAGGTGCAGGCCGCCAAGAGCGCAGGGCGCGAGGAGGCTCTGGCGGAGGCCGCGGAGGCAGCGGCGGCCCGGGAGGAGCAGAGGAGCCACACATCGAGGGCGGGCGCTTCCACCCAGACGGGTGGGGAGGAGTCGGCGGACGAGGTGGCGAGGATGGTGGACCTGCTCTACGTGTCGAACGTGGGTGGCTGGCAGGAATGTCTCCATGGGGGACTGTTTGTGTTCACTTGCTCTTTTGTGCACTTTTTTGCTCTTTTTGTCTTAAGCATTCTGTTGTGTTCTGTTGTCTTCTTGTGTTGTTTTGTCTTCTTCTGTGCTCCTTTTTTGTTCTTCTGTATTTTTGTGATTGTGAGGTCAATGTAGGCTGCTAGCAGAGCGATGCTGATTGACTGTCTGGGTTCAGCAGAGACGCGTGACATGACCCGTGTGTCGATTTTTCAAGTTGCCTGTAAGCATTTTTATTGTTGTGTTTTTTTCTGTGTTCTTTTGTGTTGTTCTTGTGTTCTTTTGTGTTTCTCTTGTGTATTGAGGTGGAGCGTTTTCTGTTGGTGTTTTTTCTGGTGGAGTTTGTGTGTGGGTTGGTTTGTGCGACGTGCGAAGCCGGGGCCTTTGCGAATTGCATGTGCTTGGGTTCGTGAGACAAAGTAGGGACAGTGCGCATTGCCAGTGCTCATTGCAGTCACAAGGCGAAAGTAGGGCAGGGAGAAGTATGGCGTCCGATGGCGTCCTTGTGGATACTTGAATCTACAGGAGCCACTAGCGCTAGTTATTTTCTTACTCGAGGGGGAGGGGGTGATGCTGGAAGTTCGTTGTGGTCACGAGTTCTGTGGGCTACAGTGTTCAAAAATACCATTACAAACAGGTGCCTTGTGCGTTGCACGCGGATCACTGGGCCAGAAAAATTCCAATCAGCAGTTGCTCAAATTCCCAAGATCATCGTCCCAAACAGATTATTTGTGGGGCAATAAGAAAACATGTCAACTGATGGGCAACCCTCTTCTGGCCAAAAATGTCCGTGAGGCTCTTATCCATGCTGAAAATGTAGAAGTCATTGACAAATACAGAAGAGTGTACAACACAGAGCGGTGTGTGTGACAGTAATGCGTGCACTCAAAAGGGGTGGGGTGGGGAGGGGAGAGGAGGTATGAGCAGAGCTGTGTGCCCAAGAGGGGGGGGAAATTGAGGTAAATGGTATGGACACTGACTTGTACTGCGCAATCTACGTGCGTTTCCTGAGACCCCATCTTTCAGCAGTGCTGGAAATTGGAGTATCCTGACACGTTGCCACTTTCTGGACTAGCTACATAATGGCCTTTGATTTGCTAGTTTTGGTGCAGGTCAAAGTTGATGTTTCGATTGTAGGAGGTTATGTTGACAGGACATCTGCGATTGTATGCATCGTAATGTACCATTTCCTGGTTGAGTGTTGAACACTGAGTCAGTTTCGTATAATGGCCTCACTCAGACTCCAGACTCGTTCGTTGACCACCTACTTCTGTTCCACAGATCTTTAATTGTAGGGGTGAGGAGGAACGGCACCATGCCTTTGAGGCTTTCCTGTCCATGCAGAGCAATGATGAGGTATGATCCAGAATGCCAGACAGAGACAGTGGCAGCGATGATTGCAAATGGCCAATCATCAGTCTTCTGCCTTGTACACGCCTCTGCCAATGCTCTTGCACATCCAGGTTCTGTAGAGGAACATGGTGAATTACTGACAAACACCTGTTGGTGGTTGTTTCATGGATCCAACTCTTCGCTTGCAGCCTGCTTGCAATAATTCCAATGAACAGTTGCTGTGCAATACAGCACTTCACAGATTCAGGAAAGAATGCTTGGAAAGGATATGTGGATGCAAATCTTGGTAATGCATTTGTACCCGCATGTCACTGTTGGCTGAGCAATGCCGATATTTCGGCGGTTACTATCATTTGAGCCAATCCTTTGCCACAGGAAATGGAGCCAGACATTGCCCATGCAGCTTCAATGCTGTGGCAGGTAGCTGTTGCAACCTCATAACTTCCTTTGAAACCAGAACCAATGCAGTGTGGCCAGAGATATTTGCAAAGGATTTTGGAGGTTTTGAAAGCATTTGTATGCAGGAGGTGGGTGTGCAGTGTATGCTGTTTTCTTTGCTGGCAAATTAAAACATGGATGCAATAGGACGATGAAACAAATAGATGACAAAGCAAAACAGGACACAGAGGATAAGACCTGCATGCGCACAAATTGTTCAGTTTGAGATATGGATGAGCCATTGATGTGGCAAGTGACTCGATTTTATGTTGCTCAATGCAGAATGCAATGAACAACACTTTAAATAAATCGGGTCAAACCTGTTGATACCAGTTTGAGTCAGTTAAGATTAATTGCTGTCACCTAAAATCAGTTGAACGCTGATGCAGTAAAGCTTCTGCAGATGTTTGCAACGATGTTGCACGCAATCTCTTTCCTTACAGCTGTTCTGGTGTCCAGGGCAAGCAAGTAGGTTTGGAGGACTTGGAAGTGCTCTCAGACTACGGTCGAACAATACTCACTGGAGGGGTCGATGGCAGCAGCAGCCACAAGGTAATTGAATGCAATCCCCAAGAGTTCCTTATCTGATTATAAAGATACAGCGCTTTGAATGGGTGCAACAATTCATATTGTAAGAGATTGATGCTGTATGAAGGTGAAAAGCTAGTGAGAAGGAATGTAAGAAATAGAAAGTTGACAGTGGGGCGGGAGCAGCCTAGGACGATAAACAGGATATGAGCACATTGCTACTCATCATTTTGCACATTGCGCGTGTCTTGTGTGAGACTGCCATGAAATGGGCACCTGCACAAGTCGTTCATGCACATTCTGCAGACAATGCGGATGTCATTACTGCCTGCTGTCACCTTGGTGCAAGGGCATTGTTTGTCCACAAGACAGCAATAAGCCAAAAGGTCAGCGGTCAACACTGAAACAGGGTGTGCTGAAAGTAGCCAGAAAGGAAGTACTATAGACTGAATAAGAAGAAATCTATACAGACAAAACCCTGGCACCTCTCGATTGTTGAATTGATTGAAAGCTTCTGCCGTTTTGGTGCAAATTAATAGGGAAGGTGTCCCATTGAGCCTGCCTGGGACGTTCTCAGCAAGGCCAAAAAGGGACATCCCAGGTATGGTGAGGTTTCGTTCGATGCTGGAAATAGCTTGTGGGCCCCAGGGGCAGCAAAAAAGACAGACAGAATGAGCAATGCAAGCAGCACGAGAGCGTTCAACACATCAATATAGGACTATGCACAGAATATTTATGTGCATATCAACATATGATTAGATGGGAACATATACATGCAAACATCTACTCGATCCCCCCAGGTGAGATGAAAGCAGCGCAGGGGTAATCGAAGGAGAACATCCATTTGAAATTGACAATTGTACAATGAAAATGGGCCTCCTTTATTCCCCTTCAGCGAGGGATGCTGCCAGCGCGGATTGGGTTCTGTCCCAAGAGAAAAAGCAACAAAAATGGCTGTGCTCAGTACTGTGTGGCATCTTCCTTCACAGCCCTTTGCAGTACCTACACAGTACTTCGTAGCATGGTATCTCTGCAGCATCATCACAGTATCTTAGCAGTATACCTGGGGTCCTTGTAGTGTCATCCTTTACTTTGCTGCAGTTCTGGCCTACTCCATCATATCTGCACATGTTCCGTGTCTGACTCTTCAGGACGCGCTGGAGAGGTGCAAGGCAGCCGCTGCTGAGTATATCAAAGCTACTGAGCTGGATGAGGAGACGGGCTTCCCAGGTGTGAGAAGGTGCCATGAAGCCAACACAGTCTCCCCATGCATATCCACAAATATCGCAAGTATCCACACTAGAACCCATGGACATCTGAGAAGTGCAGGTCTGGCTGTGGAGAGTGGCTTCCCAGGTTGGGAGCAGGCCACAGCGGTGCTGCAGTATCTGTGTCTGTATCTGTATTCTGTTCCGCAAACATCCGTAAGTATCTGCAAGTGTCATTGAATATCTGAGAACTGCAGATCTGGACATGGAGATGGGCGTCCAGAATAGTAGGCAGTGCCACAAACACACTGCATGTGAGGAGAAAAAGAACAGCGTGAATGTCTTGGTCATGTTTAAACGTCGCCATACCAGACAAGCTTGCCACCTACAAGGTGCAAGGGCCGTGCTCTGTCATTTAAAGACACATGCCATCAGCTGAAACCTCATGTCACTGTTTCGTGTCTCATTTGCAGTGCACCGGGTGCGGGCCACCCTGGAGTGCATCCAGGGTTCGCAATTTTTTGAGGGCAGTGCGGGGGCCTTGGCGGAAGTGATGCAGCAGGAGGTCATTGCTGCGCAGGCGGCTGCGTCGGCAGCGGCGGCAAGCTGCACCCCGGGCGTGACAGGCCAGGTGGTTGTTGGCCACCCATCTGGGATCCCCTTGGATGGCAATGACGATGTGAGTGTGAGCGTTGTTTTGGAGTGGTTTCTGTTGGTTTGTGTTGTATTCGTTGCAGCAAGAACCAACGTTCAAATGTGCCATGCCTGTACCCATGCACAAGAATTGTATGGGCTATTGTAGGGCTATTGTTGTTGTTTTCGTGGGCGTTGACTGATTATTCAACATAGTCAGTATTGTTGGTTTTGTAAATGTTGTTTTCTTGAATAATCATGCAAGAATTGTGTGTGTGAAGCTACTCACCCTTCAATTAAGAGGAGCATCCCAGCGAGGTGCAAGCATCTAATGCCATTTCTCGATTGATCCACCTGTTGTGATGGTTGGCACCATTGCCTTGTTGCACAGGTGATCCACCCTGCCTCCCACACACACAGCCACGGATTGTCAGAACCTGCCGCCCATCAGCCCACAGTCGAACATTCAACTGCCCCACGTGCCAGCAGGGGGTCCTTCCTCCCATTCGACTCCCTCCATCAATCCTCCACCAAACCTCAACGTCCCCCTGTGCAGCCCACGCATCAGGCCAGCGCCCCTCAGGTGGGCACCGCCGCTGGCAGAAAATCGTCCTGACGACAGGGTGGATATGCCGCTGCTTGCATTGCTCGTACACTGGCCAGCAGAGCAGTTGGCCAAAAGGGTGTTGTTTGGCCCTTTACACAGTTTTGTTCTTTGCATTGAATCGTGTTAAGTTGCTAACAATCTTGCGTTTGCACTGTAGACACTGTTGAAAACCGACCAAGGCGTGTGATCTCAATGAACAGTGGTACATTTGCATGCATCTTGTTTTCTTGAATTGCACTTGCTGGTGATTTGCTGTCAGTAACTCCAGTGTGAATGGTATTGCACCATTGTTAAACATGTGTTTGGTGCCTTGTTTCGCCAGTCCACAGCAGCAGCCCTTGGGAGCGGATATGGTGGGTTCATGACAAGAGGTGCTGGAACCTACACAAGGGTGCCCACCTCGGCGCCCCAAACGGCATTTGGGGCGTCAGAGGCAGCAATTGGGACTGATCCAGTCGTTCAGCCGTCTGGAAACGGTGGGGCGGTTGGTGGGACAGGCGTCGAAGCCAGCGGGCCTGGAATGCACAGCGGGGCGGATGCAGTCAAAGGTGTGCGCAGGAGATGGGCGACCCCATGATTGCATTCTTGGGTTGGATTTGTTGCATGTGAGCAAGCAAAGCACCTGTGCCAGAAAGCAAGTGCTTGTGCCAGGAAGCAAACGTTTGGGCAATGTTTGATGGTGGAGGGTACACAATATGAGTGAGGACAATCTTGCAGATGATTGATTCGTTGCCTGACAGACTGGCAGGTTGGTTGATTGATTGATTGGTGTGGTTTGGCTGATCTTTGATTGGATTGTGGCGATCTCCTTTGCAAGACAACTGACGAAACACCGCCCATAATCACCTCAGTCACCCATGGCACAGCGCACCTTTAAGAACCTACCTTGGTGCGCAAACCCAACCCCACCTTTGCATGTGCTTATTCAATTCTGTCTTGGCATGTTGTGTGCAAAAACTCGGAAGGCCAAGAAGAGAGCGTGAAAACTGGAAAGGAGAATACTGCATTGGGGCAGGGAAAGTGCAGAAAGATGCAATGGTTCTCTTCCTGATGCAGAGACAAATGGCCCAATTTGCATCTTGCCAGCCCCAGAGCACGTTGACAGGCTGTTGTAATATCTGTCCCACAGTGCTGGAATGGCAATTGGCGAGTTTACCCATTATTGACTGTGTCCATGGCTTCATTCATTATTGTCCATCATAGTAGTCCATCATTGTCAGTAGTTCATCATTGTCCATTCATTGTAGTCCATCATAGTATTTACTGCATACATTGGCAATTGTGCATTCTGGTTGCCACATCCTTTGCTTCATGAATGACTTGTTTCCATATCCGCAATGGTCTCACAGAGAACCTTTGGAATGCTCAGTCATGTTGGCGATTCATTGCTTGGCAGGGCAGTGCATCTATGCAACAGTCTTGTGTTCTATGTAGTGTTTTCCTTTTGGGTTTGGGTGTACTCTGGCTGCTGAAGAAGCTATGAATTCAGCACTAAATGACAAGAGCACTAATTGTATAACATTCAACAGCTGTTTTTGCTGATGTGCCGCGATTGGTCCCCATAGACAAGGAGCCCGAGTAGATCATGGCCTCAAAGATTCTGAAGGGCCGCAGATGATATCATCACTGACTTGAGATTCTGGCTGCCTGGGGTTGACACCACTCTGCACTGTCTGCAGCTCTGCCTCCTATCATTGCTCCCCGGCACTTCGTTGGTCTGCACTGCTCTGCCACGCCGTGTTGCTCAGCTGCACCCCCCTTTTGGCCATACTTGTGTGCCCTCTCCCCTTTCCACATCACCCTCTTTGGATCAGAACTGATGGCCTCCTCATGTGCCCCCTACATGCCTCAGAGACTCCACACGTGGTTGGGAGGGGGTGCCCCCTCTGCATGATCTGTTTCTTCTCCCCTTTGTGTCAAATCTGACCTCCCTGCTTGCCACAGAGTCTACGGACCCCCTGGCGGACGCCGACATGGCCACCATGCCTGCCATGGATTCCATCCACGCAGCTGTTCCCAAACAGGAGGCACCGGGCCAATATGGAGGCGAGAATGGCGATGGCGTGCAGGCGGCCATGGAAGGGGGCCTTGAGCAGAGGCACAAGGGAGGCAGGGGCCAGGGGCCCCGGGCACACCAGGCGCAGTACCGAGTGATCGAGACGGACCGGCCGAGGCCCAACGGGGGCACCAGGGGAAAGGGCCCTGGGGCCCATCCTGGCGGGTGAGCGCTGAGCACGCATCTAGAACTGTGATGTGTTCAACCGGCCCCATCGCAGCAGAAGGCGGGGCATTAAAGTAAAGGGTGAAAGCAACAAGTGGTGATCTTGAGAGAATTGGGAAAATTGTGGAATGTGCTGGGCCTTGAAATGCAGAGGAGAAGCGGCAAAGCAGCGATCGACCAAGAAATGCAGAGCCGCCCAAAATGTAGCTCTCTGGATAGGCTGCTGATGCACACCTATCGATTTGCATGGTAAACACGCACGGCTTCGGTTGGCATCGGCGCACACCCTCCATGGTCCATCGTCCCCAACTTTTGGGGCATGGGCAGGTATTGGGGTGTTGTTGGTGCTGTTTGCCATCTTGGGTCCTGTGTGCTTGGTGCGCTGTCAGGACATGGGGGCTGGGATGTTCTAATTTTGGCCAAGCACTGTGAGGATCTTTGCAATCTGCTGAACAAGGCGATGCTGTCTAATCTGAAGCCAGTGGAAACAGGTGCCATTGCCGGTGTCCCAGTGTTCACTGTGCTAAAATGAACACATCAATTCATTTTGTGGCACAGGTCATGATTTTTGTTGTGTCACTGACTCAAACACTCCTCATCTCCGCTTACATTGGCCGATTTTCGCAACCATTGGGTGCCCTATGTCGGAGCCCAGGGCATCTAGGACACCCAAAAGGGATGCACAGCGATGCCCCCAACACCACCGATGACCCAACACACAACCCCTTGGGAAACACCTGGGGGCACCACAACATCTTTTCAGAGCATGGAAAGGGTCTCTCACACACTTGCTTAGGAGGGCTGCCCTTTGTATCACCTGTTTTTTCCCTTGAAAAGCAGGTAGTGGGGTTACACATGGGTGGCCCTGGACGTGGCCTTGACAAAATTTGATTGGTCGTGTATTGCAGGGTTAGCACGGACGGTGACATGCACATCTTTGTCACAACACTATATGTAGGAAATCTTCTTCTTTCCTTGAAGTGTAACAAATCTGGCCTCAAACCCCCTGCCAGCATTTTCCACCGATTCCCACCGTCGTCCTCCCGTGCCTGCCAACATCAGCGACGAGGTCAACGGCCCCTGCCAAGATCCGTGGAGACTGGAGCCCCTTGTGGGCATTGGTGCTGATTGTTGGCTTGGCATTTGTTTGGCATTGATTTTGGCATCTGTTTGGCGTTGATTTGGCATCTGTTTGGCGTTGACCTGGCATTTGTTTGGCATTCATGTTACTAATGTACGTGCAGGCGGCCGGCAAGTGCCAATCGGGGCCGTGGTCCACGCGGGCGCGGCAGGGACTTCAGCGCCGGTCGCGGGGGCCGGGAGCCATCCTATCGCGGGGGGCGCAGGGGCGCGCCGGGCCGAGGAGGCCGGGGTCACTCCAGGCAGGACAGTGCTGGGCGATCCCCTGCGCCACCAGCACAGGCGTGAGGAAGGAAATTCCTTCCTGGCAGCTTCAGTAAAAGGTGGAACAAGCAACTACTGTGGGAAGTACTGAACCTTTTGGCACATTTTCCCAAAAGAGGGTTTCAAAGAAAGTGCATTCACCGCGCTGTGCAGCTGGGCATGTTGGCATGGGCTTGGAGAGCTGGGCAGTGGAGTCCGATTGGGCGAGAAAATACTGCTGGTGGGGGAGCTTTTGGCCTTTGGGGGGCGATGCTTCAGGCGCTGAGCAGCGCGTCAGTCCAGTGACTGCGTCCATTGATCATTTGGCCATCGGTGGCATGGAACTTTTGGCGTTTTGAACATAAGTGGAATGCTGGTCTCTGTGAACATCGGCGGAATCGTTGTCTGTGGCCGCCTTTTGATCTGTTAACCATCTTTGATTGGTGCTTTGGGATATTGCATCTGTTGGGTTGCGAGCTCCTGTGGGACAAATGAATTGTTGGGAGCCTGCCAGGTGGCAGGGTGTGCACAACTGCTGCAGAGCTGGTCTGCGTACATCGCCATTGAAAAGCAGTGGAATTGAGGGAGGCTTGTCCACTGTGTGCGTGACAAGGTGTGGGCCTCCAAAGTCGATGTACGTGGACCAGTTGACCGATGTGCGTTCATGTGTGATGCACAGAGTTGATCGTGAATGCACGGTGATGGGGCCTGTGGCCAGAACGGGTTGGGTTGCTTTGAGAGTCATGGAGTGGGAGACTGAGGCTGAGGGGGCAACAAGATTGTGCTTTGGAGTGTATTGACGGAAAATTTCCGATGCAGGCGTGCTCGCTCGCCACCAGGCCTGACTGTGCGTGTCAGCATTTGGGCTGCAAGCATTGCTCCCAATGGGCAGTCGTCCTGGAGCATGGGCCTTGCCACAGGGCTGTATCGCTGGGGAGGCTGATGTTGTGGCGCTCACGAAATGTCGTGTGCACATTTTCAAGGCAGTTTTGTCCGCGGATGCACAACGGCTCGGTGGCACTGGTGGCTGTGCATGGCTTGTGCGCAATGCCAGCATCTTCAGCGACTCAAGGGATCACCATGGAATCGCATGCACGCCATATGATCGAAAACATGCTGCGGTCAGGGACTATCATGCCGTCAGAGAATTACACCACATCGTCATTATGAAATGATGACGATGAGCAGCGCATGATGATCATTGACAAATGTTGCACACTCCGTTTATTGCACTCACCCTGAAGAAAAGCAAGATTTGTGAGTCGGCGCTGGTGAACCTCCTGGAAGATGACAGTGTTGAAGCCTGTGTCAAATACGATCTCGGGCACCATTGCAAGTTTGCCCACCTATGTAGGAGTTCTATCACTTCAAGCATAACAATGCACTGCATGATTGCGGCCATAACGTAAAAAACCCAGAAAAAAAGTAAGTACAACTATTAGTGTACAAAAAAAATACAAAAGTGCTGGTACAGGAAAGTTCTTTGCCTTGACCTGTGCCATTTCCCGAACGAACGATTTCGACCAAATGGGGGGCCCCCGCGGCGTCCATTCCGCCCAATTGCGCTCATTCGACCCATCAACCTCAATACTGTATCTACTGTACCACTACTAGTAGTACACTACTAGTACTAGTAGTACACTACTAGTACTAGTAGTACACTACTAGTACTAGTAGTACACTACTAGTACTAGTAGTACTAGTACTAGTAGTACACTACTAGTACTAGTAGTACTAGTAGTACACTAGTAGTCCACTACTAGTACCTCAATACTGTACAGTATCTGTCGCAGGGCCCCATGGCCCGCCAGATTGCCCCCGGTCACTCATCACACTCGCCTCCTGACCCCCTCACTGTGCTCCCACCCTCCTCGTCCACCAACCAGGAAACACGCCGATGACTAAACAGCCACCCGACGTACTACGCCAATGTACAACGTCAATGGGCCGCCCACCTCTTCAGCGTCAAAGTCTCGCCACCGGCGAGCGCGCCGCGCGAAGTCGACGCCGTGCGCCTCTCTCGGTGAAGGAGCGTTTTGACAAAGGTAGGGAGCGCGGGATGGAATGCGGAGAGCAGCCTGAGGCCCTGGCCGTTGCGGACAACATTGGAGGGGATTGACGACGGGGCCTTCGCTTTTGGGATCTTCGCTGGCACCTTGGCTGGCGCCGTGCCGTGCCGGTTGCTGCGGCATTCGAGGCGCTGGCGCGCGTCTCGTGCTTTCGTCCGCCTGAAACCGTTCTCATCACGCTCATGTCTGCGTTGCTGTTGTGGTTTGCGTCTCCACTGTTGGCTGCGAGCACCGGCGAGGGGGGGCGGCGACTGGCCATCGTCGGAAATTCACATTCCGCGCTGAGGGGATGAGAACATGGTCTCGCGGCGCGGCGCTTCACGGCTTGGAGGATACCTTCGGTCATTTTGGCGCCCTCCAAGGCGCAGGGACGGCTGGCGGGTCTGGTTTTGAATACGAAAGTGTGGGGACCGACGCGGAAGTGCCGCTGGGGAATGCCGAGGGAGCAAGCCCCGCGGGCTGAGTCTCCCCGCGGAAGAAAAAATGCGAAAGATTTCAGGGCGGGCGCGATCGAGTGATCGAGTCCTGGAATGATGGCGTCTCGATGCGCGCTGGGATCCCGGGGAGCGGCTTGGCCCGTGTCGGCCGGTGAATTGACATCGTCGGGGAGGGGGAGGAGGGGCGGCGGTGGGTTTGCGCTGGCAGACTGCCGCGGGTGGAGTTTGCACGCGCAGAGAAAAGGGTAAAGTTGACGGGGGGCGGGGGGGGGCGCTCTTTGATCGTGGCCCGGCCCACAAGCCTGGCCCGGTCGTTTCCTGACGTGTGTTTGGATCGCAGGGAGTGGCTGGAGCGCTCCCGGCGTTCTGGATTGGCACCATCGCGGGAGGGGCGGCGGCAGGATGTCGAGGGAGCCGTTGCTGCCGCGCGCCATGGCGCGGGCGATGGAGCCCGGGGGCACGGCGCGGGGGGGGGAGGGCGTGGAGCAGCTGCTTGCCAGCAGGGACCGGCAGGGGTTCGACAGCAGCGGCAACTGGTGCGCGAGCGGGCCCGCCGGGCTGGCGGTTGGGTTGGGTGGGTGGGAAGATTTGCTGCAAAAGAGACAGGTCACACAAAGGGCGCCCCCTCCCAAGCAAGTGTATGTGGGACTCTTTTCCATGCTGTGAAAGGATGATAAGAGTCTCCGATGCGAACACACGACACAAGCAACTAGAAGCCAAGACAACAAGAGGGGGGGGGGGCGCTGTTGGGACTCATGTCTTCCTTGTGTTGTGTTCTGCTCTCTTTCGTGGCGTTCATTCTCGTTCTGTCTTGCATAGTTCCGTCTGACTGTTCGTTGTCTCCTGTCTCCCTCGCCCTCTGTTTGGGAAGGGGAACATTTGCCGTGGGGCCTCACGCACTCCTCCTGTCCTGTTCTGTTCTCTTCTGTGGCGCTCGTTCTGGTTCTTCCTGTGTCTTAGGTCCGTTTGTTCGTTGCCTTCCACTTTCTTCGTCCTCTGTTTTCTGCTTTCCTTGCCATCTGCTGCGCTGCTCCTTGCCTTCACCACTGGGCTTGGGGGGAGGGAGTTCTGGACTTGGGGGAGGGGGAAAGCCTAGCGGATGCCCGAGTGCACCTGAACCCATGAAACAAGAGCCGAAATGCGGCTTGTCGAGAACTGCTGGGTTGGTTGGCCGGCGATAGCGTGCGTTCTGTCTCCCACTACTGGTTAGCTTTGGTGGTTGCTTTTGTGTCTCACCTGTTGCTAAAACTTATATTGAGGAGTCTTGTTCGGGCAGCTTTGCAAGTCCTTTCCTTCTTTTTGTTTGGGTCGCTCCCAAGTGTGGACTTTGTGGCTTCACGATGGCAGGAAATGGTGCAGGACATTTGCGCAGTGCAGCGTTCTCCACTCCCGTTCCATTTCCCTCCCTCTGTCTCTTTCTCCTTCCCATTCTCACCTCTCTCCTTCCTATATCTCCCCTTACTCCCTTGCATGCCATCCTTATACACTACATATGTTTTGTGCCCTATCTCCCTTGCTCCTGGACAATTTCAGGCTGGGGTGTCAGGGAATGTTTGGCATTGTGGATGGCTGCTCCCCAGTCCAGTGGTGATAGTAATCCCCCACTGTTCTTGCAGAGAAGAAACATAATGGTACTTGTTGCATTCATGTTTCTGCTGCAAACCGTCAAGTGTTGGGTGGGGAATGTCTGCGTCACTTTGCTTTGGGGGACCTGTTGGCCCTTTAGTGTGCTCTCTCTCGTTTGTTGTTGTTTCTTCAAGCGGACTATGGAAACATTTTCTGCTTGTTTGTTTGTTTGTTTGGTGCTTGAGTAAACCATGACAACGGCTTCGATTAGACTGCTTTGACTGGTGGAAACGATGCTGTTGCCCATTGCAGTTTTTTTTTTTGCCTTTTCATGCCTGGAAAAGTTAGTAGTCCTGTGGTGATGCCCAGCACAATAATCGGCATACGGTCTGGTGTATTTTCTACCCCCACTCAGCAGATCCCCTCCTGCCACTCATGGCATAGCCTTTTGAGTGGCCCCTTGCTGTGCGACATTTATTCTAGGAGTGTGGCCTTGGCCTTGCCAACTCTGGCTTGAGCAGTTGCAGCCTTTGCAAGTTGGACTGTCAGCAGCCTTTCAACACTCAGGATATTGAGACTCTCTCCCAGTACACTTGACCAAATTCAGCGATGTCCGTCTAGTGAACAGGGATGTCTATGAAGGCTGGAGCAAAATCCATGAAAGCAACCTTTTAACCTCACTGTGGCCTTCCTGCAGTGCACTTGGTTAGGTGCATTCAACGAGTCCCACCATGGAGTCTATCTTCAAATGACTGATTGAACATTCAACAAAGGAGAGCACCTGCTTGTTTGCCAAGGCTCACAATTGGCACCTGGCCCTCCCGCCTTATTGTTCTTTGTTTCTTTGTCCCCGAAATGGATGTGTGCATCGACATCCACAACTCAAGCCATCCATGTATGTATGTGTCTTTGTGTGGGCAACTAGCTAGCTGTTGAATTTTGAAAATGTGAAAGGACCTAGGGTGTAGAGGTGTATGCTGCCTGTGGTGACAGTAGTTACGGTAAGCAGCTTTCAGCATTGGTAGAATACGTCAGCATCATGCCAGAGAGGGCTCCATATTTTATGCCACAACACCACCAAAGAGGAAGGAACTTCCTATTCATCGCATAGCCACTTTCTTTTCATTCGATGAAAAATTGACACGCCAGCAGGATCAACAGAGCGAATTTGTTGGCTAGCAGATCGCTTGACACCTCCTCTCCAAAGCCAGGGCCTCTTCATTCCAATTTGACACTTCACATCCAGAAGTGTGGGCACTACCCTGGCCTCAACAGGAGGCACAGATGCCTTGCACCACCTTGCAGGAAAGCACGATGCAATGCACAGTCTAGGCAGATTGGTCACACAGCAGCAAACACACCATGCAAGAGAAGTCCAGTTCGGCACTGTTCTTTTTTGTTTTCCTTTTATCGGGGAGAGCGGGAAGGGGAGGGGGAGCTATGCTGGCCAATAGTTGCCCATTTCAGTTGCATTTTTCAACTGTAATAAACAGGACAGAAAATGCCACCTGCCACTGTAATCGGCACCATTGCTCACTAGTGTTTGGGCTCCCAACACCTTGTCTTGGCCTTGCTCACAGGTGCATGACTATCTTCAGCTTCCGGGGCCGTGCAACGCCCGTTGTGCCCCTCCTCGTGTACTATCTGTACTGCCTTGTCGTGGTGGCAGTCATCATGACCCGATTCCAGCACATCTTCGTGGTCTGCCAACAAAGCTACTGCTACCTGGACTCTCTGACAACGCCTGTGTCGATCGTGGGTGGGTGTGTTATTGTGGTCTGATACAGAGATGCTCTCGCAACCAGTATATGTCAGTCAGTCAATCAGTCCATTGTTTAGTCCTATAGTACATATTCATGTATGTTGTAATGGTGTATTTTGCACTGCGTGTTCGGTACAGGCAGTGCAACATGAATCCTATGCCATTTTTTCAAACCAGCTCTTTTGGGCATACTGGACTACTCTAGAGGTCGGCGCTGGGTTGGGAATGCCGTCAAGCGCCTTGAACCCCATTTTTTGAATTTTTTCGCCACTCAATGCCGCTGTTTGTGTGAAGTTGGCAAAATTAGTAATTTTTTGTGGCGCGGGTTTTGACAGCATTCCGTTTAACGCCACCTAGGCCAAGTTTTTGCCATCATTTGTCGTTCCCCTTGGCCAGATGTTGTCGAATCTGTGTCTTTCTGGAGAGGTGCCAGAGGTGCTGGAGGTTGCTGTGCTTTAGCAACGGGTGTTGTTGTTTGCCGGGGAGAAGGGCGGACAAGGCCTTGATGGATGCGGGCGCCTGCGATCTTTGAAACCAACTGGGATTAAATTGGAAGGGGATCCCCTCCGCCTGAGTTTGGCCAATCACAGGCGCCCGCTCCCGCCACCCCTGGGCGCCTCGATTGGCAGCCGTGAGTGGCGGGAATTGGCACCCGTTAGGCGCGAAAGTCGCCACAAAAAGGGCGCCTGATGGGCGCCCACTCCCGCCACACATGGGCGTTTCGATTGGTGGCTGTGGGTGCAGGGAATTGGCACTCTTTGGGCGCCAAGAGAATGGGGCCAAATGGGCGCCCACACCCACCATCCCCACGATGCCTTGAATGGGCCCCCACGCTCGTGGGCGTGGTGCCTCTTGCCCACCAACTTCTGCCACTAACGGTTCTCAATCAAGGTGGTCAGGGGTAGGGAGTGGGGCCCACTCCTCACCCGTTGACCTGTTGACCCCCAATTCAGCGAAGCGGGATGGGAGTGGGGGGTGGGGGGGAACCACTCACACGCCTCCCCTGCCTCGCTGCAGCTCACTGGTGCCTTTGCACGCGTCTCCCTCTCCTTCCCCATGCCCCCCCTGCGCCTCTCCATCTCCCCCCGCCAGAATTAGGTCTCAATCGCCAATTCAACGCCGATATAGCCCCGATTTCCGGCTCTAAACGGTTGTTCGCCCTTTTCCTTGCTTTCCCCGCGCCTCCCCTCTCTTTCGGTGCCTTCCCCATGCCTCCCCTGCGCCTCTCCATCTCCCCCCGCCAGAGTTAGGTCTCAATCGCCAATTCAATTGCCGATTTAGCCCCGATTGCTGGCTCCAAACGGTTGTTCGCCCTTTTCCATGCTTTCCCCGCGCTTCTCCCCTCTTCCAGTGCCTTCCCCATGCCTCCACTGCGTTTTCTCGCCTCTCCGTTTGGCACAATAGCGTGTGGCCAGGACAGGCCCACACATGTTGTTGCCAGAAAGTGTGCCCACGTGTGCATCACATCCCCGGACTCTCACTGGCTTCCAGCCCATCAAAAGGACGCATTACATCTGCACGTGAGGCCCCCCACAAAAGCATGTGGGGGGTCTTGGGGTGGCCTTGTTGTACTTATAGTCTACACTTCAAAGGGCCTGCCCTTTGGCCCTTTGCCAGAGGTGCACTGGGCGGACATGAGAACCCAAATGTCGGACACACTGTCCAATGCCATTGGAGCCATGTGACAACATGCTATGGAGTGCCGTTGCCAGTGAGCGCCCTCCATCCAATACCATTAGGTGTGTGTTGCCGCCGCACCACGCATTTAGTGACGTTGGATTTTGCCATTGTAATGGCGAAATGGGCTGATTGATAACTCTATTACTGAGTATGCCATCCGTAAGGTTCCCTGACGCCGTTAATGTCAACGGCAACTAATGTCATCGGGTCCGCGCCACGTGTGCTATTAAATAACGGCCTGCAGCGCCGACCTCTAGACTACTCCTCTCTCTTTTGCCCTCGTGGACTGGTCGATGAGTGGGTTGACTTGGTCGATCGATGGACTGGTTGATTGGTTGACTGATCCCCCAATTATTAGTCAATAAACGGATGTAGCAATCGAATAATTTGCAAGCACATTCCACAATGTGAGTGGAATGCTGTGTATGTTATGTGCAATCTTAGATGTTGTCAAGAATGGTGTATTCATAATACTGTTGTGAAACTTGACAAATACGTTTCTTGTCTGCTCCCCTACTCAGGCAGCGCCCTCTTTTTCCTGCTGGTGTTTCGAACCAACTCGAGTTATGCGCGGTGGTGGGAGGGCCGAAAGGTGTGGGGCCAGATCGTTACCACCGCACGTAACATGGCGCGTCACGCCGCAGTTTTCCTAAACGAGAAGGACGTGGCACTGGACATCATCCGGTGGGCGGGGGCCTACCCAATCGTCCTTAAATCTCATCTGAGGGAGGAAAAGGTGAGAAAGGGGAAGTGGGATGGAAAAGACAGCGGAAATCGCAGGAACTCGAGACAGAATTGAAGCCGGATATTGGGGATCCCCCCTGTGCTTGCTATTGAATGTACTTCAAAGATTGCCGATTTGCGATAGGACCTTGAAGTTGCCTGGCATAGGCGCTGTGTGGATACTGAGAGCTTTCAATCGGGACTCATCTGAGGGACAAAAAGAGGACTCGTTTTGCTCTAACAATCAATGGCGAGGGAATCGTCCCTCTGCTTGTCTTTTTAAATCGTGATATGCAGCTTGGCTCAATTTTCCGCCCTTCTGACAATATTCGTATGTGTACCTCATAGCTGACAATGGCACGTTGAATTTAAGAAGTTATTCTGCTACATGTTAAGCATAGTGTCTATTTCAACCAATTGCTGTTTGCTTGCGTGGCACAATGCTGGTGAGACGACAGGCGGGCGTCCTCCCACAGAAATGCCTTTTTCACGCAGTTCCGACATTTCGGCTTCAACCAACAACATTGCGTGGGGAAAAAGGTGCGCAAGACCTTCTACTTTGTAGCAATGCACTGCGCCGCATTTGTCTGGACGGGTGTTCAACCCTCTCGCCCCACTGGCTCTCCCACAGGACCTCAGCGAGGTGGGCCAATTCCTGGACGGCGGCCAAATAGAGGACGTCATCGAGGCGTCCAGCATGCCGATGCACGTCATGCTGCGCCTGTCATCGGCCATTCGCTGCATCGCCGTGCACAAGCTGCTCCCGGAGGCCCAGATCTATTACCTGGACCAGAACCTGGAGGAATTCATGGGCCAGCTGGCGGCCGCGGAGTGCATCAGGAAGACGCCCATGCCCTTCGCATACGTGGCTCACCTGAGGTATCCCGCCAGCAAGAGAACGCCCATTTTGAGCAACTGTTTAATGTTCTTAATTTTGATATAGTTTACTTACGTGTAGTTGTAGTTGGCGGCGATGCTGGGTTAATCAGAGGGCCACGTGTGCGCAGCTCGTGCGGCTGTCCAGCCTTGTACATACGTAGTGAAACTGTGGTTATAGTTACTACAATTACAGTTATTGTTAATTGACAACGGTTAATGTGATTAGTGGTTGATTTGTTGGGTGCATCTGATGAATGCGTGCTTCAAAATAATCTGAATAAGCCTGGAGTGCAGTGCTACGCGGCACGCAGTTGATTATGCAGGGCGCCCTTTCTGTTTTCAACGGTATGACCTCTGCTTGCATGCTTTGTTATTGTGTCCAATTCATTGTGCTATTGGATTATTCATCTATGGTTAATTTTGTGCTATTGTTGGAAACTTCTTTCGTGCTATATGCTTTTCCTAAATAGCGCATAGAGATGATGCATCATTTTGAAACGCCAATTCTTTTGATTTTTTTGATGGCGCATTCGGCTTAAAATTCTCTAGAAATGACGCACTGTTTTGAACTTCAGGACGTTCATGGTGCTGTGGCTGATGTCCCTGCCCTTCGTGCTCATCCACGACCTGGAGTGGCTCATCCTGGTCGTGTGCGTCATCATCGGTTACGTAATCATGGGCATCGAGGGCATCGGCGTGGAAATCGAAAACCCCTTTGGCAGGGACTACAACGACCTTCCGCTGGACACCCTCGTGGCCAAGTGCAGCGACAATCTATTGGCCATGATGGCCTTCGTCGAGCAGCAGAAGGGCCCGCCCATGGGTCAGTGTCGGAACGGGACTTCCGTGGGCCAGTGTGGGAACGATGCTTCCGTGGGTCAGTGTCTGAACGGGACGGCCCTGGGTCAGTCCCAATGGGCCGGCAGTCCGGCGTATCCGTGGGAGTACAAGCGCATCGTGTTGTTTGGCAGTTCCACGGTGGGTTCTGGGGACTGGGCAACGATCGCCCAATCATCAGTTTCTGGGGATTACGGACTGGCACTTTCTAGGGATTGTCAACGGACAGTCTCTAAGGATTGTTACGAGACGGTGCTTTCTGGGGATTGCGAACCAGCAGTTTCAAAGGATTGCGAGCCGGCACTTTCTAACGATTGCCAGCCGGCGTTTTCTGGGGAGAACAATGCGGGACTTTCCAGGAGGGGCAGGACGAGAAGCAACGCCGAGTCGATGCGCGGCATTCCTGAAACGATTCCCGAGCATCATCCTGAGGATGCCAGATTGGGTCCATCCCCGGAAGGAGAATCCCAGGAAGGCCTCGGGAAGGAGAAACTTCCTTGGGGCAGCCCACCGGTACTTTCTAGGGACGGCGAACTGGCAAGTCCTGGGGATGATGAACTGGCAATTTCTAGGGACGACGGACTGGCGATTTCTAAGGGCGACGAACCACCGGATTCTAAGGGGGACCAATCGGCGATTTCTGAGGGCGACAAACCGGAGACATCTGGAGGCGACGAACCAGCGATATCTGGGGGCGATGAACCGGCGATATCTGGGGGCGACGAACCGGCGATATTTGGGGACGATGAACCGGAGTTTTCTAGGGATGGCGGCCCGGACTGGCAAGGGAGCGACCAAGGCCGCGACGGATCGTGGGGCAGCGAGTTGGGGAACGGGGAGCCCGATGCGATGCCCAACATCGGTGCAAGCGGCTGCCGAACTGGTGGCAGCAGCACCTCGGACTGGGTGGAGGGTGGCGGATCTGTGCAAGAGACTTGAAGGCCGAAGGAACGAAAGCACTGCACGAAGAGGAGGATATTGCCTGGGACAGCCCACCGGTGTTTTCTGGGGAGGGCGAAATGGCGAGTTCTGGGAATGGGGAGCCTGCAGTTTCTAGGGACGACGAACCGTCGATTTCTGAGGGCGACGACACTGGCAGATGAAAAGGGCGCCGGCCAAGGAAAAGTGCGCTCGAGGGCGGGGGATGGGCGGAAGAGAGGCGAAGGCCAAAGGAGAGAAAGCACTGGACGAAAGGAAGGCACTGGCGCGAAAAAAGGACGCTGGCGGAAGGAATGTGCGCAGGAGGAAAGTTTTGCCCTTTCTGTGAGAGGCTAGAAACGAATGATCGTGGAACGATGGTCAACCTGTGCGGAAATGGGCTTTCTTGAGGTCTTTCGCATGATGCGTTTGTCAGGCTTCTCTTAGCGCTTCATCGGGTGTCTTATGAGTTTGTTTTCGTTGCTTTGGTGCCGAGGTCATGGAGTGCGCAATATGAGCCACCGGCACGAATGCAAGAGGGGTTGGAGCGGCTTGGGCGGCCAATTGTCCACCTCTTTATTCTGCACTCTTTTTAGCGTTTTTTTTTTGTCCTCTGGGGGGTGGATTCTTTCATGGATGGTGTCAATAATAGTGTCAAGTTTCAACTTCGTGATTGACTGACTATGATGGATTATTGATGGTGAATAGGTGATTATTTGGGTCACGTCCTAATTCCCTATTCGGATCCCGGCCTGGGACATGGGGCCGCAGTTTGGGGCTGATCCCAGGAGGCTTAACATTGCACATAACTCTGCGGAGAATCATGTCCAAAATCAGGGAATACTTTGGATTTTTCCAGTTGGTTTAGGATTCCGTACTACCTGGATTTGGGTCTTGGTGCACACTGAGAAAGGGGCTGGTCGATGACAGGATTTGATTGATTACGTTTGAGTGACGAAGTGTGACCATGAATGAAATATTTCGGTTACTTCCTAACTGGGAACTAAGGCTTGGAACTTGAATTAGGTAGTAGGTAAAATAAGTTTTGAAATAGGGGACTGGGTGAGATGCACAGGACTGCGGGAAGGTGAGCATTCGGTGGTGGTGGTGGTGGGGTGGGGGGGCTGGGGGGGCATTGACGCTTTGCATGAAGTTTTTGTGCTTTTTTCAAGAATAAGCAAAATTGAGTTGGGCTTTCTTTTCTTTTTGTGTCCCTTTTGTTTTGGGAAGTACGAAAGGTTGAAGGCATTGGCAATAAAGGCAAGGGTTGAAGGGCCAAACGTGTTGTGGGAGTGGTCGAGAGTTTGGGCTAATCAGAAAAATGTTTGGGAAAGCGGTGCAGTGGGTTCAGTATTTAACGGCACTTGGTCGCTCTACCTTCAAAAGTGTATCTGAACTGATATTTTTGGGAAGGTGATGTCTTTTCAAAATTTCCTAAACCTGCATTTTCGACTGATCAGTCATACCTCATGGGGTGTTTGATCGCTCGAGTGCATGGAAACAACGTAAATGTGCATGAAACGACAACTAGAATGCTCAACTCCTCTTGTTTGGGCTCAACGGTTACGGCAGCAGAATCAGGGGTATCTGTCGCAAGGTCATGACACGCATTTGTGTTCCAATTTCTGGCCATCCGGTCTCCTTCACCCTCCGGTGTCCCCCACACGACAATACAATACATACACAATATACTCTCGCAGTATGTGCTTCCTTAGGAGTGACGATCGTCAAACTCGATGTGGATGTCCAACGCACATTGGTTATTCTGATGGATTGTTGCCTGTATGTAGAGAGGCGTGCAGATAATACGGAACCACAATCCCCAAACTGTGGTATGTGCATGTTTGAGAGGCGATCGCCAAACTCGATCTTGGTGTCCAATCCATCACCTCACTAGTACAAGACCCAATGGTGACCCTCTTGAAAGTGCGCCCTTCGCTTCGACAGGTACTTGATGCTACACTGATGGTGACTCACCCTGGAGTTGGCCCCCCCTTTCTTCGCACTCAGCTCCCTCTCCAAACCGAAGCTAACCGAAACTCACTCTGCAAGGGTGGGCAGTGGGGGGTGCGAAACAAGATTAACCTTTGTATCCGGAGCTCAGAACTCACCCCCCCCAGGTGTGGGGTGACAGAAACGGGGTATACCGTATTTACCCGGTATTAGTAGGCATGTATTGGACCCCAAAAATAAGTTGTGGATACTAATAGCGGGTCGTGTATACTAACGCGGTTTGGACCTGATTCCAAAGAGTAGACAAAGAAAATGTCTGACAAATAGGCCGTGAAATGCCCAAAAATGGACAACAATGGCGATGCTAGTGCGGAATGTTGTCAGCCTCTTCACAGGAACTGGCGGCCTTGACTTGGGCTGCACCAGCTGCTGGCGACAGACGATTGGGGCCGTCAGGGGTTCGCTGGAATGCTCTAGGCGCATTTGCCTCTTCAATGCAAAGAACAAGGCCTGACATGGGTCTCGACTCGTTGGGGCACAACGTCGCGACGATGCTTGACACGCGGCATTTTCCCTCGCTGATGGCAGCTGGGAAGGCTGCGGGGATCTGTAATTGGGTTTGTGGCCTAGTAGCCAGTGAGATGTGTTTTGCCCCACCTTCGCAGCGTTTTACGGCCAGTTTCGCAAGGCAGGGCCTCGCAACGGTAGTTGCCATGACCATTGCCGTCGCCTGGTCATTCCTGGCGCTGGGCCCTTGAGGGGCCTGTGGCAGGCGCAAGGCCAGAACCTGCTCTGGCCGGCCGGGGAGCAGGTTGGCTCAATCCAAAAACCAGGGCGGCTTTGAATTCTCGACCGCTTCTATCATCGGGCCTTGAGGCGTCGGTCGCCGCCTTGCGATTCTGCGCTGAGAACGCCAACGGCGGCCAGTCAACCTTGCGGCCTTTCGCGGGCACCCTTCCAAATTCTCCCTCGACAACACCCACCCCGACCCGATCGTCCCCGTCGATGTGCGAATCGCAGGGAACGCGGTTTGGTCCAGACAGGGCAACGAAGTCCAACACCAGCCCCCGACTTCCCTTGCCACCATCCGCGCCTTCCGTCGTTTCTGCTCTGATGAGGTTTGGGGGTGGATACTAACACCGGGTCATGGATACTAACGTGGGTTCGACCCCCAAAGAGGGGGTTGGATACTAATAGGGGGTGCCTACTAATACCGGGTAAATACGGTAAGATAGTCCTGAACGGCCCAGAAAGTGGGGCCCCGGGGCAGGTCGGCCGGCGCGCGCCCACCCAATGTCACCCTTGGCAGAAACTCATTAACAGGATGGTTAATTATGCTGTTAGAATTCTGAGGTGAAGGGATGAGGAACTCGTGGATGTCTGCATCAAGCATACTTCTGGAGTATTTCGATTGCAGGGATTGCATTTTTCGCACATTTGCGAGCACTGTGAACCAAGGCCTTGGTTGGAACAGTGGGACGCCGAGCAAGAGTTGGAACAGCCCGTTCTCTTCTGTTTGTTGCCCACATCCCAATTCATTTCTGTCAACACACGCAACGTGTGCAACGTGTGCAACGTGTGCGGATGGGTCACGAGTCTTGGCAGTACTGCCGTTGCCACTTCCACCTTCTTGCATATTTTCCGTCATTTGTCACCTTCTTGGCGCCTTTCTGGTCCCTTTTGATCTCTTTGGCACCTTTTGGCCGTTTCTCAACCATCAGCAGTGTTTTGGCCATTTCCGCCATTTTCGGACCCATTCAAGCGCTTCCCACCATCGCGACAGCTTTACATGTTGCATGTCTTTGCCAATGCTTCCCTACACAGCCTTATTCACGGCACGGGCCCCCCAGCTCCTCAACCCCGCTCCCGCAACAACGCAACCGTCCCCAGCACCAACACGCCACAGCACTGAAGCAGCACGCCAACAACGTTGACAGGCATCTCCCCGCCTTCGACAACGCAACCCTTGGGCGACTCATTCAGAGCAGACATCCCCCCAAGGGAATGGGAAGGACAGAACTTCCTCCATTTGGCGTTACGACAAAGATGTGCACGTCACCTTCCGTCCCATACCCGCAGTACATGACCCATCAGAATGTGGCACGGCCACGTCCAGGGCGCCAAGGGGATGGGAGGCAAAAAGCGAGGTTCCCTTTCTTCCCATTTCGATCCCGCCGCCTTCCCCTCGACTTCTCTGACTCCCTCTGGCCTCGGCAAGAAGCAGCGGCGCTCAAAATCGACAAATTTCTAAATTTCTACAGAACTTGAGAATTTATTCTACAAATCGAGAAAAACACAAGTCCAGATACTGAACGGATAGTGACGGACTACAGCAGGCATTTCGAAGGTAACGGGGGGCTTGCCTTGGCGCGACGGCGTCCAAGCGCACCGTATGTCATCGTACATCACCGTTGTCAACATATCATACAGAGCCCAGGTGCTGGGACGGGGTTGGCACCTGGACAACCGATTAGTGTGCAATACATTGGAAATTAAAAGAAGAATTGGTGTGCAATAACCCGATAGGTATGCCATACATTGGAACGAACAATGAAATCGTAAACATCTAGGCCACGGGCGACAATCCAGCCCGACGCTGTGAAGGCGACGCCTGCATGTCGCCATGGACGACTAAAATTCTCCAATTTGGAGACCCTGGAGCGTTCGACATATCTCGAAGGGAATCCCCAGCTCTCAAGCCCACCCAAGTTCGAAAAGCCCAAACCCCCCATGGACTTGCGTCCCTCCAGGCCGCCAGCCTACACGGGCAGAAAGGCACCTGGAACATAGTCTCACAATGCCATTATGAGGGCTGCATTCCATCTCAGGCGCGTCTTAATCAAAGGATTCGTGTGGCGGTTTGCGAAATATGGACCAGGACTGGCCAAAGAATGAACCAGGCACCCAGCCAGGAAGCACCAGGGGTCACCCAGGAATCGCCCAGGATCCCCCAAGAATCAGCCTGGAATCACCGAGGAATCACCCAGGAATGACCCAAGAATGTGCACATACTCCACCACTCCATGCAACCAAGCACCACAGCCTCCCCAACAAGGTGCTTCAATTCTTCGTGACAGCAATGACCACGATGGCGATGATGATGGCCACTATGACGGCCAGGCACATCCTCATGCGTGTTGCTGACTTTTGGTGCTGGTCCGCTCTGCCCAGCACATTCGCCCCAGCCTCCACTTGGCCCGACGCGTGCGTTATGTTGGTCTCGATGTCGTCAAGCATGGCACCCTGGTCCGTGACCAGCGTGGACACGTCCTGGAACATCTCGTGCAGCTCACCAATGTCACGCACAATGGCGGTGATGCCCTGAAGCGGACAAAAGTAGGTAAGGGAGTGTTCAAGAAATGAGAAAAGGAGTTGAGATGAATTGAGAAATAGAGTCAGTAAGGAATTGAGAGCAAGAAAGGGATGAATTGTGGATCATGGGATGCGGTTGGTTAGCAATTGTCGCACACCAGCATGCTGATTTCCTGAAATTGAAATGTGTAGATATGGAAATGTTCGGAAACATTAATTGGATTGATTTAGGAGTTGTGACGAACATGAATCAGACAATAAACCTATTGGATACAGGGAGATGACTGGGTTGCTGCTGCCATGTACAATGTCGCTGATGCCTTGGACACACACCAAACGGCCAGCTAGCACACCAGACAGTCTGCCACAAAGTGAAATTGGATGAAGTATATTGCGGATTGTTGGCGAATGATCAGTTAAGGAATGTAGAAGAACAAAATGACACAAGATGATGATGCGATGAGACTGGTTCACCAATGTCAAGCACTGCAGTGCTGATGGCCTGGCCATCCATCGATCAAAAAGCTGGTCAGCTAGTCAGACAAGACAGTCTGACAAACGTTCAAATCGGTGAACGAATGCTGGGGATTATCAGGAAGTGGATTAACAAAGAAATGAAGGACACAATGACAAAGGATGGATAACGTGCTGCAACTGGTTTGCTGATGTTGAGCACCATTGCGCTGATGACTGGGCAAGTGTTGATCAAATGGCCACCAATATCCATATCATTGTACTGCACAGCCAAATTGTGTGCAGACACCTTGGTAAAGGTCACGCTTCCTGGCTAAGCACGGCGAGGGTATGCCACCCCTGCCATATTCGATATCCAAGATGCTCGATGCTTGACATCCAGGACAAGGAGAAGGAGATGCAAAAACCCCACATCCAGAACAAGGCACCATTTTGACAATACCAAGACTATGTGTTATTTACAAAATGCATAGACTGTGTACTCATGGCCTATGTACTATGTACCTAGACCATGCAACACTTTTGGAAGAGAAGAGGCTTTTCATTTTACGGCACTCGCTCGCAGCATTTATTTTGCAGATGCACTGCGCAAAGTCCAGCTCGCAATACTTTAGAAGAACCAAAAACACACATCCAACATGCCAGCACAAAGCAGCACATCGTCCGTCACTTGCCACATGCACCACACCTGGTCCCGCTCTTCAATGAGGCTCTCGTTGTGCGCCACCACGCTGTCCATGACGACCGCCTCCTGGCGCTGCTGGTGCTGCAGCAGCGCCTGGCGCTCCATGGCCGCCAGGGGGTCGTCAGACGCCTCGGACAGGGCGGCGGACTCAGCGCGGGGGGGCGCTGCCTCACCATCCGAGCAACGCTTCAGAGCCTGGAGTTGGGGGAAAATGAAAAGAAAGAGAAAAGAAAGACATTGCTGAGCTGAAGAAAGAGCAGGAAAGAAGAAGAAGAAGAAGAGGAAGTTTACATACTGTAAAGTATGTAGAGTATGTAGAGTATACTCAACCCTTCTGCATACTAACATAACGCTTGGCTTTTTCTTGCTCAGATTAATTCATACATACATAGCGCAAAGTTTGGCCTTTTTTGGCAGAGCAACGGAAAAAAAGTATAACGCCATAACGCCCAGAAACACAAAATGTAGAGCACAAAGCACAACGGCACAATCTTCTGATGCGGAAGGTTTGAATATTTCACAGTATGGTGTTATGACAACAATGTGCAAGCCGCCGTACGTGCTGTACCCGCAATACACCGAGTTATGGAGTTCAAGAAAGAAAGGAAAGGACTGCTGGGCCAGCGCTGTTTGCCTTCTGTTCCTGAAAGAGTCCCGGCACATGGCCACCCCACATGAAAAGTTTCCTTGTCACCTGCCCGTTTAGAGGGTTTTCCCTTTTTGGGCTTCCGCTTCACAGCAAGTGAGCCAATGTTCTCAGAAGTGCAAGATGTCGAACTCAGCAGTGAGAGGAGTACTTGAGTACTAAGCCATGTCTTGAAGGTACTTGGGATTGTACGAGCACAAGTAGCAAGTACTTGGGGAGGGCACAGTGTTGTACTGTATGGTACTGCCTATTGCACTGTGTTGCATTCAGTGGTATTTGAAACCGAGTCACTGCTGGTTTCCTTTCAAAATAGAACAATTGGTGTCACAAAAGGATATCATTTTAGGTCAAGTCTGAGGCTGCTACATGGTGTCCACCACACTGTTCATGGTGCAAGAATGCGTTGCTGCTATCAAATCCAATTGTGAAAGTATTTCTTTTGCCACAATCTGGCTTGTCATTCTTCTTTTGAGAGCCGCCATCCACAGACCTTTTCAAAATCTTCCAGCACTGCCGTGAAATTTTGGCCAGCCCTGTTTAGCCTCTCCTGCTGCCGCTTGGTCAGGCCCTCTCTCTGTGCATTCAGGCCCACCACCTTCTCCATAACTTCCTTGGTCTCATCCTGCATGCAGTTGCATTCACTACAGAATCACTGCTGGATATCAAATTCAGAGGTCGAAATTATGGAGGCCGAATTCAGTGCATGCCTGTTTATTCATTGTGCAGGCATGTGTGCTCGCAAGTGAATTCAAATTTGGATTCTGGCTTTGAGGTGGATATCTTGCAGACAGCGTTTGAGACATTCCATCACTGATGTCGTCACACGTGGAATGTGCAAGTAAAAACTCGCATGGAAACCGGCTTGCATATAGATTTCAAAGCTCAACATTGGCTTCTGAGTGCAGAACTTGTGCAAATAGTTGGCTTGGAAGGTAAAATTCCAACTTCATATCAGCACTGCAGGCTGTTTGTCAAAACCGTAGTACTGCCCGAGTAGTAATGCAAAATGTGCATTGCCGTGCCAGCCCCTCCTGATAATCTTAATTGAGGGATTTCAAAAGCACCTGTCAGGCTGTTCCTGCTTGTGGTGAGCTTTTTGGACAGTGTCCTTGCAAGTAAGAAAGTAACCTTATTCATTTATGCACACTCAACAAACATACCACAGGACATGGAGCAAACTGCAAGGACATCTTTGACACGAAATCTGAAGCAGTTTATGCAGCGCTCATTAGCAAGCTGCCAAGTTGCACTTTTCTTACAAAAGGATCATGCCTGTAGAGAGCTCCTTGCGACCGCCAGCTGTGACCTCAGCTCCCCTGTGTCGCGTCTGCCACCCAGCCTGTCCACCAATCTCTTGAACTTTGCCACCCCCGTCTGGACCTTGAAGCCCTGCCGCTCAAGATCATGGAGATCCTGGTAGGGGCACAAGCACACACATCAGCTTATATAAAGAGCCTACCCTTACATTCATATGCCCCTATTTTCATACTACACATATGTGCCTATATTCATGTAAGCCCTATGTTTAGATTTGCAGTAGAATCCAAATTCAGGAGGTACTCTTGGAAAGAGAAAGCCAACAATCTTTCTGGAATGACATGAGCGAAGGAACCAATATCACATTGGGGGTTGTTGCCTGTTCTGTGGTCAGGTGCAGGGTGGCCATCGTGCGATATTTGCCTCTTTGTTGTGTCCTTTCTGTTGCAATACATTTTTCTCAATAAGGGCCATCCCTTCTTGGGGTATATCGCTCAGGCTGTTTGGTGCCAGACACCTGTGGGCTCAAGTGAGCATGGTACCAAGCTAAGAACCAAGCACTGGATACTAGGTACTAGGCAATAATACCTGATGGCAACAGGTTAGTACTGGTACCATGGCAATATTGGTACTACCTAGTTCCTACTGGGCCCAGGATTAGCAGTGGATGTTGACGTGCAGTTGTTCTCCTCGATGCAATGAGCCAATTGAGCAACATAGGACTTGAACCCTGTGTTTTCTGCAAGCCGAACGCAAGAACGCCAAGCAAAGTCCAATAACTCAACTGGTGAGCACAAAAGTCAACACAAGAAGAGCAAATACTTGTATATTGTGAAGCATGAAGTTGCACGGGAATGTCAATTCTCTTCACAGCAGTCTGGTCAGCCTCACTTGGTCGTCTTGTAATGTGCGGAAAGGGGGGTCACACAAAACTGTTGCTCATGAAAGGGCTTTCTGCATCCATTTTCACAGCATGGAATGGTGTCTGCCACAAGTGCCAAGGGTAGTCCACAATGTGCTGCTGGAGAGGACGGGAGCCCATTCTTCCGTAAAGTCTCCAACATGGAGAATATTAGCCAATTCTTGCTAGGTATACACATATTGTATGAATTTCTAGTTTTGTCTGAGTTTCAGTGCCTGCTTTGGGGCTTTGACTGTGGCAGGCCTTGTGATGACGAATGCCCCCGAGCAGTTGACAAGACGCTGACTGAAGGTACTTGCATTCCACATGGACCAAAGCACATTCTTCTATGTAAGGTGCACATGGGGATGCAACTCTGAGATTACTGCTTCCATTGCAGCTGGTTCGGCTCTAGCAGCTGCCAGAGGCTGGCGCTCAGGCACACACCCATACCCACACAACAAAAAGCTGGAAAATGGTGGAGATATGCGAGTGAGATTCTGGACAACACCAATATTCCTTATCCCCCACGTGCAGCAGCACGCAGTGAAGCCATGTGCAGCATACATGGGACGCTGGTGCAGAAGATGAAGATCACTAGTCAGTGAACGTTGATCCCTGCTGCTTCAGGCATGGAAACGGGCACTGCAGCAGGGAACTCTGGGACAAAGGGATTCGTTGTTGTTTTCCTTTCTCTTCCCTTTAATGTGTTCGTTTCTGATTCTAAAACACTGACAAAGGGATTCGTTGTCCAAACTAGGAAAACATGTCATGCAATGGCCACTCCCCTCCTCGGCAAGGAAAGGCGGCAATCCTCTCCCATGTTTTGAAAGATGTTGCAGAGTATCTGATCACAAAAGAAGAACACAGTATAGCAGGTGGTACATGCCCTTTTCTGTCGGGACTTATCTACATGTGTGCATGGCATGCACACATTTGGATAAACCCAGACAGACAAGGGAAAACAGTGAGGAGACACACAGCACATCAGCTTCAAAGAGCAGACCCAAACAGCAATAATAAGCGAGGAGGAAAAGAGAGGGCAAGGTAGGCTACTCAGCACTGTGTTGGTGTGCTGGCCTGCATCTGCCCCGTCAGTGCAAGTGCCTCCAGGCACAGGCAACACACAGCAAGAGTTGTTGGGATAAAGCGTATCTCAAGCACATAAGCAGCGTAGCTTGAGCAGGACCCTGCGAGCTCCCCCTTCTATCATATCCCTTATCACCAAGCAATCTGCTCCCCAATGTGCACATCTTCTCACAGGCTCCAAGTATTGGAGATTATTGGAGACTTGTCCTTGTTACAACTACATGGTGCTGTTTTTCTGTATGGCCAGAAGCATATCAAACAGAATAATAGTGTTTATGTTTTTCTGTATGGCCAGAAGCATATCAAACAGAACAATAGTGTTTATGGGCACTTCTGTCCTCTGACTTTTCACCAGTTCCATCCCATTACCCAAGAGCGCAACTGCTCTGACTCTTGCAGAATTTCTGCACAGTCTACAGTTGCCTCCGCCAGGCAGCCAGAAGATTGAAAACATTGGGAGCCGGTTGGCTAAACATAGCACCCATTGCATCGCACATATCCATTTCCGTTGTCCAAAACACCCTCGAGCAAAAATCAATGAAAACATGCAAGAGGCTCTGCACACAGCCCACCTTCTCCAAAGGGCCCTCCCTCCCAACCGGCCGCAACTCGCGCTCGGGCCCTCTCCGCTTGGCATCCTGCAGAGCAAATCAAACGCCTCCCACTTAGCCAACTTGATGAACGATTGAATGGATGCATCCTTAAGGCAACAGGAAAGTATGATATATTGATCATGTAACATGTCTCTACAGAACTCAATTCCACAGACAGCACCAGGTTTCTGGTGGCCTACGCAGGGCCTCATAGTGCTCAGCCAGGCGATTGGATCCAATGGCTAAAAGAGGCGGTGGGGAAAGTGTGGGAATTGCTGGAGAAACCCCCACTACCTGCAGATATGTGCCAGAGACGACCCAGCAGAAACATATGCCATGAGCGGCGGGTCCTTTTCATGTCGCTTGTTGCGGATGCAATTTCCCATACAGGACACCTGACTTGGCTGGAATTGGATGCTATTCATTCGAATCTTTGAAGGCCCATCCACAAATGAGCTCTGCCCGCCATTGCCTTCCCAGCCCGAAACAGCTTTCCGACCATTGCAGATGAATTAAGACAAGACACAACCACAGTGCCCGCCGGCCGTCATCACTCCAGGGCGATTTCAGAGCAAGCAACATCGGCAGCACACACTTTCCAACCCCCTGGGCTCCCAATCCCTCACTCCAAGGGCAGGTGCGCTCGCTGTGAGGACTAGCGCCGAACATCGCTTTGCACTGGTGTTGCGCGTTGCCAGCCGACCGTCTGGAACTTCTGCACCATTTCTTAAAGTGTGGTGCAAATTCTCGTCATCTTTTTGCCTAAGGAGGGGGGATTCTGATCCTGTGTGGCATGTTCCTCCTGCCACCCGCAGCGGACCTGCCGGCCAAACGCGATGGCTCCAAACGTTCGCAGTGTCTGTGCGCTGCCATTTATACCAATGCAATTGACGGATTTGCCCAGATTCGAGAATTGAACTTTGAACTTTGGCTGTTCAAGGCAACAAGGTAAGAGGAGACGGGCGCGGCAAGGCGCGGGGCCTCCCCAACATCCGCGGGGTGCGCACCCCGCCAGTTCTAGTCCAAAGCCACTTTTTGATTTTCCTGAGTCTTGGGAATCGAAATTCGAAACGTGGTTGTTCAAGACAACAGGACAGACGGCCGTGCGTCGCAAGGCGGGGTGCGCGCACCATGAAGCTCATGGCTGCAAGCCCGCGAGGGGAAGCAGCGCTCCAAGATTCGAGGATTCGAGATTCCAATCGATGGCAGCTGTGGAGGGGGTTGCACGCCGGCCGGGGAGCTTTGACTGGTCAACGCGGGTCAACGCGGTGAGCGGCAGCGGTTCCGTGAGAAGGGCTGCGGGGCAACGAGTTGGCTTGAGGGGGCTGCAATGGGGCCTTTTTGCCAGGGCCAAGTGACCTATTAGGAGTGAAAGTTGATGGCGGTTAGGTTAGGTTAGAATCCGTTGTGCATGTCTGGGATTTGCTGGGGTTTTTCAGGGTCAGTAATGCAGAGGTTTGGTCAGACGGGATGAGGCGGAAGGTCGGTAAGGCGTGGCGGTAAAAAGAAGTGGAGGGTGATTTTACAAAAGGGGGTATCCGGGAATTGAACCCGGGACCACTCGCACCCTAAGCGAGTATCATACCACTAGACCAATACCCCATACGCGTCCCATTGCATTATTTTAATATCTATATTGCCCATACGATCAATGCAGCCATAATTTTGAGAATTGCTCCACACTTTTAATTTGCCCATGATTTTCAATTGGACAAGGTTGTTTAGCAAATTGTGTGCAGCCATTGCAAGCAAAGTGAAACGAGTATTACTATGCCAAAATGCGTTGTCGGTTAGTTGGTACTTTATCTTGCCAAACTATCATGAATATGGCCTTGGGCATATGCATATTTCAAATAAACACTCCGTAATACAATTACATATCAATAATATAGCATGCACACATATAGAAGTGTAGTTTTTATGGAAATACATGGGGGTGCACTGAAATTGTCCAACTTATCTTCAATTTAGCTCATGTAGAATCCCCAGGGATAATGGCGACCAAACGAGGCAAATGGCGGAGCTTCGGTCAATGTATTACAACGGTGGTGGGCCCCCTGGTCCAGACAAGGTCGAGTGCACCGGCGAACTGAGACAAATGGCCTATGGGGTGCCCACTTTTATAGGTGGCGTGCTCCCCCTCTCGTCATGGCACCCTCGGCCTCCTGTAATGTCCAATACACTCATGTCATGCCACCCTCGGCCACCTGTAAGGTCACCTCGGCCCTTGGAGAGCCACTAACATGGTCCCTTAGCCCCTTGGCGTACCTCTAGTAATGCCAGGCGGCTTCCCCAAGCTATACCACGTCCCTCCAATGTACCATGGCCGTAGGGGCGCTTGTACTTGTGATCCAATGTAATGCGGGTACCTGACAGGTGCCCGTACTGCCGGATCAACCCCATAATCCCTTGGAGTGTACTCCACCACTTCCTGGCGGCTCCCTTCCGCCCATGACCGCGCACTACATCATAATAGGCTATAATATTCATCATCACACCGGTTCCATCAAGGAATAATGCCTCAAATGGCCAGAAATGGGCTAAATGACCTAAATTGCCTTAATGACCTCATTATACCGAAAATTGGCCCATTTAACAAGATGAACGTGGCGATCATGATTAACACATTTCTAGACTCAGATGAACACATGTAACTCATCTAAGTCATCTAATTACCCGTCAATGTACAGTACGGTGTCCAGTCACTACAATCTCCCCCCCTTAAACTAAGCATTGTCCTCAATGCGGCCGTAGTACTCCTGGATCTTCTCTTGCGCGTTTTGGAGGTTGTCTTCAGGCTCCCAAGTCGCTTCATGGGTAGGGTAGCCTTCCCAAAAGACGAGGTATTCCTTGACGGTTCGACGTCCGCACTTTCGCAGTCGATGGTTGACGATTTCCTCGACGAAGTACTCCTCGTGGCCGTCCGTAGAGATAATGGCTTCGCGAGGTTGGGAACGTCTCCTTGCATCCTTTGGCGCCCGGTACAACTTTAGTTGAGAGACATGGAAGACAGGATGTACTCGGATGTGCGCCGGCAGCTCCAGCTTGTAGGCTGTCGTGTAGCACTCCGCCACCTGGAACGGTCCAATATACAACGGTCCAAACTTGTGGCTTGGTCCAGCTCCAGCAATGTTGAGGTACTTGGTAGAGAGAAGAACTTCATCACCAGCATGCAACTCCAAAGGTCTTCGCTTCTTGTCCGCATATCGCTTCTGTCGCTCTTGAGCCTTTGTCAAGTTGTCGCGTGCTTGCAGTAGATCTTGGACAAAGTCTCCATCCAATCCTCAGCTGTGACGTTCTTCGTCTCCGCTCCAGCCAACAAGTTTGCAGGGTTCACTGGATGTCGCCCGTAGCAAAGGTAGAAAGGCGTAAATCCAGTTGAAGAATGCACGGCATTGTTGTAGACGAACTCCACCATGCTCAACCGTTGATCCCAGTCGTTATGTCGTCTTCCCACGAACGCTCTCATGATCTCCTCAATGTACGGTTGGCCCTCTCCGTTTGGCCATCAGTTTGAGGATGAAATCCCGATGACATCGCCAAAGTTGTTCCCATATTCTTGAACACTTCCTTCCAAAAATGGCTCGTGAACTTGCTGTCACGATCCGACACAATGGTTCTCGGCAAACCATGGACTCGTACAACGGAATCCACAAAATTCTTAGCCACATCCACAGCAGTGGCTGTCCCTTTTGTTGGTCTCAGCACCACCATCTTGGTGCCATAGTCCACCATAACCAACAAAGCATCATAACCTGATCGGGTCTTTGGCAAATGAGTGATCAAATCCATGCTCACTTTCTCCCAACGATTGTGAGGTATTTCCAAAGGTTGCAACAACCCAGCGCTTCTCTGATTCGAAGGTTTGTTGCATTGACATGCCTCACAGCTCCTCACAAACTCCGTCACATCACTCTCCAAAGAAGGCCAATAGAAATCCCGCTTCACCAGGTCAGATGTTCTCTTGATGCCCAAGTGACCCGAACAATGTGCATCATGCAATTCAGTCATCACTGCACTTCTCAAGGTCCCACTTGGCACGTACAGTCGCAATCACCCATCATCAACCCAATAGATGCGCTGATTCAGCACCTTGAAATTTGGGTGGCGATCTGGATGTTCGAAAATTGCTTTGCTCTCATCATCACGAGCATACTCCTCTTCCAACTTCCGTAGCAATTTCGAATCCAATTCCACTTCAGAGATCGACAAGCATTCAATCATATATAGCCTGGACAAGGCGTCGGCGACCACGTTCGACTTTCCTGGCTTATGAATCACCTCATAGTTGAACTCGGCCAAAAAGTCCAGCCATCTCGCTTGTCGCTTCGACAGGTTTGGTTGCGTCATGAGGTACTTCAAGGAGTAGTGGTCCGTGACTACCTTGAATCTCTTGCCTTCTAGGTAGTGTCTCCAAGTCCTCAACGCATGAATCACCGCCAAGAGTTCCCGCTCATGAGTAGGGTAGTTCGCCTCTGCTGAATTCATCTTCCGGCTCTCGAATGCCACAGGATGATCACCGGAGTCATAAACTTGACTCAACACAGCTCCCACAGCCGTGTCACTCCCATCGCAGGTCACGATGTAATCTCGATCAGGATCAGCAGTCTTCAATACAGGTGCCTCGGTCAGCTTGGTCTTCAACTCCTGAAAGGCTGCATCCTCACGTGAAGTCCATTTGTAGGGAGTCTTCTTCCTTGTCAAGTTTGTCAAAGGCGTTGCAATCTTTGCGAAGTCTTGGATGAATCTTCTGTAGTATCCCGCCAATCCAAGGAAACTTCGCAGCTCCTTCAAGTTCTCTGGCTGCTTCCACTCCTTGATGGCCTTGATCTTTGCAGGATCGGGCTTCACTCCATTGATGCCAACAATATGACCCAAATATTCAACTTCTTGCTGGAAGAACGAACACTTGGTCATCTTCGCGTAGAGCTTGTGTTCTCTCAAGATTTCCAATGCCTTCCTGACGTGCACCTTGTGCTCCTCCAACGATTGGCTATACACCAAGATGTCATCCAAGAAGATGATGACAAAGGTGTCGAGATGCTCCCTGAAAATGCTATGCATCAAGTGCATGAACGTAGCCGGAGCATTTGTCAAGCCAAAAGGTAGCACGAGAAATTCGAAGTGCCCGTATCTTGTCCTGAAGGCTGTCTTCGGCACGTCATCTGGATGGACACGGATCTGGTGGTAGCCACTCCTCAAGTCGATCTTTGTGAAGAAACTTGCCTCACCCAAGCGGTCCAGAAGTTCTTCGATGCGGGGCAATGGGTAGCGGTTCCGAATTGTTGCCTTGTTCAACGCCCGGTAGTCCACACACATTCGGACACTGCCGTCCTTCTTTGGAACAAAGAGGACGGGAGCTCCAAAAGGTGAAACTGAGGGCTGAATATACCCATGCTCCGTCAACTCCTTCAACTGAGTCTTCAACTCATCCAATGCTTGAGTAGACATCCGGTAGGGTGCTCGATGAGGTGGCTCTGTTCCGGGGAGTAATTCAATGCGATGGTCCACGGCACGCTTCGGTGGTAGACCTGGAGGTAGCTCCGCCGGAAAAACATCCGAATATTCCACCAGTATCTCCTTGACTTCTCTTGGAAATGGTGTATCGATCTTGGCATCATCCAACTCCACGATTGCATTCACTTCCTTGTACTCTTGGTCTTCCGTCTTGTATTCATCGATTGGCCTCACAATGGCCATATACACGTCTTCGTGTCGAGCAAGCCGCTTCATCTTCTGGGCTGAGACTTGCATACTCATTGCCCGTTTCCCGAAGATACTTGAAAGCTTGGCACACTCCTTTGTAGGGTAGTCGCTCTTCAAAACGACCGTCTTCTTCCCCACTCGAATGCTTATGTTGCCGGCTCTCCAATCTATGTTCGGATTCCATCTATCCAACCATGACTTCCCCAAGATGCATCGTACTTGGGAAGTTTCATCACATGGAAATCCAAAAACTCGGCATGCTCCTCATAGCTCACTTGTGCATCTTTCACAATGCGATTGGATGCTCTCATTGATCCATCCGCCAAATGCACTTGCATCTTTTCATGACTTCTCACTGTTCTCAAGTCATGCTCACTCACAAGATGCTCACTGATGAAGTTTCCACTGGCTCCACTGTCCACCAGAAATTTGACAG